AGCACTTTATCAAGTTTGCAGCAAATTTGTACATAATTCAAGATTTTTGAGTTTATATATAGAATGATTTTTAATTCGATTACCCAATATATATTCTTATGAAAATTAAGGAAAAGAAATCAGTTTAAGTTACTATTTTCAAAATTGTTACAGCAGTTACTTTAAATTTATTTTTCTTTCCTTAAAAGAAAACGATGGATCATTTTTAATGATACATTCCTAATTATTATAATGTATCAGTAGCATTATAATAATTTGGTGAGTTTTCCTATTTGTATCTTTGCATAAAGTATCTTATGTACACTGTTAGAATATATTCATTCAAAAATTATGGTGGAATAACCGGCAGTAGTCTGTTCATCAACTTAACCATAAAGTTTATGGTAAAGAACTTTTTTTACCCTTATGGTTCTGAAACTGTTTGCTACTAGTATGGTTATAAAACCGTAAAAAAATTTTTTTTTTCCTATTGGACAATTTTCTTTGGTAGTAGGCTTTTAGTAATACGACATTTACTAAAAGGGCATTTAGCAATAGGCTTTGGTAATAGGACATTTGGCTTTTCTTTAGGTAATATGCATTAAAGAGTGCAGGTTACAAATTGGGGAATGCGGGAGGCTTGAAACTCTTCATATGTTGAAGAAAATTGAGAAAATATTGTAGTGTCAATGCTGAGACTCTGTAAGTCCTGAGACGGACAGATTAGCCCTCTTTGCTATAATATGTACCCAGCTGCAAGGAAATAAGTGGCTTCATTAGGTGGACTTAGTTGGTGTGATAAAATTCTGGTGGTTTAACCATATTAGGAGAAAACAGTTAATAAGTGGTTTTTCTCACAGTTAGCAGTCTGAATACCATATTATTTATGGTTATTTTACTGTTTGTTTGAATAGAGTAAAAAAAAACAATTATATAAATTGTTATTTAACCATTTGCTCCGAGAAATTTCTAACAATGTATCAGTGTGCTTAATTACATTCTCCCTTTCTTACGAATCCAACTTTTTAGAATGAATGTTAGATTCTCAAATTTTAATTTCAGTTGGAAGCATGGTAGCATTAATTAACATTAATTAACATAAACAAAACTCCTTGCGATATTTTAATACTACTGTAGTTTTTCACATTGTGAACATAGATTTCACTTGATAGCAATATTTTTATGTCAATGGCAATTGAATTCCTTAAACCATTGAATTCAATAGTCCGAATATTTCTATCCTAGCTAGAGCACATTTTGTGACTAGGTATGCTTTTGTAGCCCATTTTGTAAATATGTAGGCTTTTAAAGTACATTTTGTAACTAGGTAAGCTTTTGTAGCACGTTTTAAACATATATAAGCTTTTGTAGCACATTTTAAACATATGTAAGCTTTTGTAGCACATTTTGTAACTAACATAGCTTTGGTAGGGCATTGGCTATAAGCTTAATTGTATTAATCACTAAGTTTTCAGTCGCTTGACATCCATATGCGCTGTGCATATGCATTATCGGGAAAAATAATTGCTCAATAGTTACTTCCAGTTCAATTATTTTAGATGGCCCAATGTGATTTTCATTTCCAAAGGATCTTTCTAAAAAATAATTTGCTAATTCCAATTTAAGAATTCCCCATAATTAAAGATTTCTACAAAATAAACTAACTATATTTGAATAGGGTAGCAATTAATTCTGCAATATTGAAGTAGTAATTTAAAACAATTAATACATTAAAACGCATGTTTCTCACTATTTCGGTACGAACTTTTATTCGTTTAGAAAAAAATTCGCTACTCATAAAATAATTTATTTTAAGTGCCTGTCTGCTAGTTAGTTTTATTTTCAAAATATTCAGAATCTTGTAATCCACTTCCTCTTATTAAATTATTAAAAATGAATTGAAATGGTTATTATAAATAAAAAAGATTAGAGCTCATGAAGAAAAGCCTTCGTGACATTCTTGAAAAAATTGAGATTTCTCCGAGATAGATTTTGTTTCAGTCATACTTAACTGTAGAACATTAATTTATTTTTCCCATTCTTTAGACTTCGCAGATCTCAGGGGATAAAAGGTATTGAAAAACAGTCTTTGAATGCGTCCTGAATGGAAAATGATTCTAAGTGCATTTAATAAGAAAAAAAAACAGCTGTCTGCACAGTCTTAGAGAGCCACTTTATCTTCCTTCCACCCCTCTTTTCTAAGGAGGGGGGGAGAGCATAGTAAGAAGCAAAGAACAAAAAAAAGTTTAAATGAGTGTTAGGGATTATAGAATTTGATTATTGAAAGCTTTCGGATCAAACATAAAGGCAAAGAATAATATTTATTTTTTCACTCAAACTGAATCCATAATAATAAAATGAAGAGTTTGTCTGTGTGTACGTGAATCTTTTATAATTCTGGAACCGTTTGTTATATCGTCCTGAAATTTGGACAGTGGGAAAGAGGTGCGATTTTTCCAGATGATCCTAAAATTCGTGCAAAAATTTCAATTAGATAGTTTGGGAGAGACATTTAAAAAATGGAATTTCCTCTTTGTTTTAGACATTATCATTGATATAAATGAAATTGCAGACAATCTTAAAGATAGCGTCATTGATGTCTACTTGCTCATAGCTCACTAATAAAAAAAATGAGCATATTGCACGTTCTTACGTAATGAATTTTTTTTATTTGATTTGTCAAATAATCAACATGAGCGTGGCAGCATTGGTGGACGATGTCACAAAATTAGTTTCTTTTAAGTAATATTAAGACACGTGTTTTTTTTTTCAGTAATTTTTTGAAACGTATTTGTATAAAAATAAATAATTTAAAATCCATGGTATTTGAGAAAAAAAAGATATGTACTAGAAATCAAAATTAATGGAGAAATAAATCATTTAGGAGAAAATTTAAAAAATCCTATAGAAGTAAGCGTAGTAAATTACCATACTAATATTGATGCCTATGCTTAACTAGTTTTGGTGATAGGTACTAATCTGAAATAAGAAATAAACTAAGTACAGAAAAAGCGTAATTAATAGAGAAATAGCACTAATTCGTTTAGTAGAAAATCAAAATCTCTGCATATTATTTTTCACTCCAATGATGCTTTATTAATTTTGTTAATCGATTTTAATTAAAATAAAACTATAAGCTGTGTACTAAAGAACAATCTTGATGGAGAAAGGGTTCTAATTCGCTTAGGTAAAACGTTAAATATTGCCATGCCATTATCAACGACAATGATTTTTAATTAATTTTGGTGATAGGTACTAAATGAAATAAAAGCAAGCAATGTGCTGAAAAGAGAAATTAACATAGAAATGGTACTAATTAAGGAGAAAGACAAAAATTACCATAGCAGTATTTATGTCAATTGTGCTTAATTAATTTTGGTAATTGGTGCTTTTGTTTCTGTGGTAATTGGTGCCATTTCAATAAATTCCAAATATAATAAATGCCGAATATAATGAATACCAAATATAATAATGCAGGCAGAATTACTATGTGTATGGTGCCTATTAAAACTGCATCAATACCGTGCAGTTTTAAAATAGATACAGGAAAGAGGTTTTTACGGGCCTTCGAAAGGGTTAAGTACCAGAGAAAATTGCTTAATGGTGGTCATGAGTTGACCATAATGAGTTGCAGAGTAGCATCATGACAAAAAAAAATGAATACAGTTAACTACTTAAAAGATACTGAATACAGTTACAGTTAATGAGATTAACTACTGAACACGTGTTTTGAATAATCTAATTACGTAAAACCACTGATAAGGACAAAATATGATATTTAATTTTTAAAAAAAATTAGAATTATTGAGGATTTATTAATAGGATTGGTATAATGTCAATTTTGTGTACGATTTCGTAATGTTGTTCAGTTCTTATATATTAATAATTTCATTTTTTCACCCCATACGGAGAACAGGTATTCAGATAGTTTTTAATAAAAATAGAAAGAATTTGGAATCTTTTTTACCGTTTACTCATGTAAGAAAAATCAAAATCTTCCGAAAAGACGCGCTTTTATTTAAGAGAAAGAATATTGTTTGTTTTTACACAACTGGTCAGCGATAATTAACTAAAATACATAAAGTGGGCGTTGCATTCATACATTGTTTAACATATTATGCACTTTTAAATCCAATCATTACATCTAAAATTATTCAGGTGTTTTGGTTTTAATTTTACGAACTGTAAATATCAGGATTATTTTAAAAATGCTATATGAATGGATTTTTTATTCAATATAAACACACCACTAAATTTTTTCGTGGATGTTTTATACAACTTAGTACAAGAAAATCTGATAATTCTATAGCAAATTATTATTATTGTTTGGTTTTCATTTTGACAATTGTAGACGTCTGAATTAGCTTATTTTTATTAAAAAAATGAATAACATGAAAACGTGAATGAATACTATGATATTGTCACGTAAGTGAAAGTAAAATATCTATCTTTAGAAATCCTTCTTCATTCAAAGACTTCAGTCCAAATATAATGTAACTACAAGGTATTCCTTAAAAACCACTCTGTATTTTTAAGAAACCGTTTTCAAAAATGAAAAAAAAAAGAAGTATGCATGTAGAAAAACCGCAAATTAATATTTAACGGTGGAAAAAACAAAAATGCTATCGAAGCGTAACCAATTACAATAGACTAAAAAATATAACACAGGACATATGGTCTTCCCATTTACTCCTTATAACGAAAATAAGTGTCTCAAGGTTACGTGATTTTCCCACTCTCCACACTTTTACTCTCTATGTTCCCTAGGTTACGACAAATCTTGCATTTTTTCCATGCAAGTATAGTCTAATTCTTTACTGAAATGTAGGATAAAAATGCAGGATTTGGGCGTAACCAACCGACAGAGATTTGACAACAGAAAGAGGAAAAATGTGGAAACTGGAGAAATCGCGTGACCTTGAGATGCATATTTCATATTCAAAGAGTATAAGCTCTTCTATTATCAGTAATGAGTTTAAAACAACATTCTAAAATATAATTTAATTTTTTTTCTTCTTCAGATTAGCCGAACAAGCCCGTTTGATGTTAGACAGGGGAATGCGTTTCGAAAACTTATCAATGGGCGAAGGAAGACCAACTGCTCTGATTCGTAGGTACGGAAGTTTATATGCACAATCTCGAGTAGATAGATTGGATGCTTTGGATAGTATACCTGAACTGGAACATGCACATGATCTAAAATCAAAAATATTGTTTTCAGTTGTAGTAGTAAGTATTGATTCACTTATAATAATCTTATTTAACACATATTTCTGTGCAATTTCAGAGTTTGCCTAGTGGTTCATAGCAGCTTTATTCTGGGGGCAATACAGAGTAAGCTAAATACATTCATTTTATTGATCTTTATGACGTAGAGAAGTTTTATTTGATGCCATACTACTGCTTTTACACTCTGGGATTAAAAAAAAAGTAGCTATTAAACAAAAAGCTTGATTTCATACTTTATTTCTTAAAAAAGTTTGATTTCTTAATAACAAAAAATAAGCACTTGATACTATAGAAGCTTCATTTGCTACAAGAAATACGAATATGAAAGCAGTCGACATATTTTGAGAACTCCAAATAGGCGCCCAGTCTCAAGACACGCCAGACGTGAAAGAGACATCCTCATTCACGACTGGTGAGTCTTGAAAATGAACTGCATATTTTGAGAGCTGGAAACATAACAACTTTTTCCAGCTTCATGTTTTTTAAAGCAAATATGATTTTTATGTTATCAAGTGTATTTTTCCGCTTCAGTTTCCTCAGATTATTCGTTTAAATTCCCATCTTGTTTAATATATATATATATATGTTATTATAAACAAATTTTATAATTATTTAAACACTCTGATGTTATTTCGTATTCGAGAATAAACGAAATTTTAAAAGATTTCTATTTATATTTTCGCATCCTAATTCAAATATGTTTCAGAATCCTAAAAAAAATTTTAAAAAAAATCATTATTTTGAAATCTATTTAATATTTTAATTTTGAACCTACTTTAATTTTTTTAACGTAAAACTTGAAATTTGGAACCTTTTTAATGCACTGTCTTCCAATTTCAAAACCTGGAACGAATAATTAAAAATAAAACCTTTTTTTATGTAGTTCTGTAGAATTTGATTTTTTTTTCATTTTTTTTATAAAAATCTATTTTTTTACCTGCATTAATTATTCCAGCAATTATTTAATGCATCATTAAATTAGTGAAGTTCATATTTTTTTCTATGTTATTTTAATCCGATCTCTCTTTGTAATTTTACAAGTTTCATTAAACTTATGAAAATTAGATTCAAGCACGTCTGATTTATTTTGAAATAGGTAAATGTAACCAAAGTTTAAGTTTACGTAGAAATTCTTTAAAATTTCTAATTTTAATTAGAACTCATCTAGTGATAAATCAATAAATTTAGCTCAAAATTTTACTTTTTCCGTCCATAAAATACCTTTATTTGCGCATCATTACTTGTACTTCTCTCATATAGTTACATGTTTTACTAATTACTCAAAAATATCCAAGTACATTTTAAATGAACATGACAATATTCCTTAAAAGATGACCATTATAGAATAAAAATTAAAAAAATATTGAAAAACATTGAAACATTATTCAGTAAAGTTTTTTTTTTATCACAGAGTGTATGCTGGAAAAGGTAAGCTTTCGATTTTATGTTACTTTTCACAGAACTAAAATACTTTATTAGGAAATTTTACATTGTAAAGATAAGGTAAGATTTGCTCTAATTTATTTAGAACTAATATTGCATCGAAATTTAAGGAGATAAATATTGCGTAAACTAACGCAATTCTCACTATAGTTAATTAAACAGTTACAGTTAATTAAACAGTTAACAGTAACTCACTACAGTTGTTAAATTTGGAAGGAGTTACTTTGAATCCCTCATTAATATGTATACTTATTATTTTAAATCTAAAATTTGTTATTTTAAGCCGAAAATGCACAGTAACTCTTTATTGCTATTCAAGTCTAAAATTTGCGATGTACTAATAGTGCTAGAACTCTTCATTTCCTTCGAAACTAATATTTTTAGCTCAGATTTAAATGCATAATATAACAATCAACTTTAAATAAAGACACGTCATAAAATACTTTTGTCGTTTCTGTAATCCATAACAAAGAGCTTTGAATGATTGATTATATGTAGTAAAAAGTAACACAGATTAAAAATTAAAGTAAAGGAAAGGAAATGGGATAAAAAGAAAAATATAAAATTCTATTTAATTATTTTCTGACATAGATCTCAATTTTGATAATATTTGGATTCTCCATTAATGTTTGAATATAAAAAATTGGAAATTTAATGTATTTTTTCATAAATAGTGATATTTAGAATTTTATTGCAGTATTCCCCATGATTACATATGTTCTACAGTGTCTGTACAGTGTAAAACATACGTACGAGAACCTGCATGCTCACGTTGCAACTTACTGTATGTTCACGAGTGAATATGTTTAAATATGTTATGCAGAATTCAATAGATAACCTATATTGTTCTATAACTGCACAGTGCAAACATACGTGAACATGTGAAACGAACAAATTATATGAAAGTGCTAAATCCCTCTATTGAAACAAACTAATGTCTTTTAAATCACATGAAAGGTAATTGAAAGCAAATACGATAGTTTTCTTATTACATCTTTAAACATGAATAAGCTAAAAGAAACCATAACTATAAATCAAATTTTTTATCTGATTATTTGTAAATATTTTTTATACCAACTGAATTATGTTAAAAATGTATACTCATGAATTCTAACACACAACACAATAACAAACCAAAGTAAGCTCTTCACTTGTAATTTGGTGATGCCAGATATGGCGATAAATGGGAAATACTAAACTTTTTTTGTTAAGCAGCTTTGTGGTGTTGCCATCTATGCGTGAATAAGGGTTTCGAATTCAAATAATCCAGGGTCACCATGGTAAATTCAGGACCCTGAAAGCTCGTCATTTGTAAAAGAAATTGGAGAAATATTGTTGTATCAACGCTGGGATTCGAAGCTCTTCTCGGCTATAATATGTGCCAAATTTCAAGGAACTAAGTGGCTTCATATGGTGAGCCTATCTGGCGTAGATAAAATTCTGGGTGTTTAACCGTATTCGGTGAAAATAGTACAAAAAAATTTCTCACTGTTAACAGTTTGAAAACCTTCATTTTTATGATTACTAGACTAATTTGGTTGAATATGGTATTAATATAGCAATTAAATAAAATGTTATTTAACCATTTTTTTTTTCGTTATGTACAATTTATCACCTAATTCAATTCACACTCAACTTTGATTACACCCACTAGAGTTTGAAAAGTTTTGATGCAGTTTTTTGTAATATAAAACTTAGCTATGTTTAAAAATCTAATCAAAACACCAAAGCAGGAAAAATAGTATATCATTTTAGAACATTCAAAGTTTTTGATACAATTTTTTCGAAAAGCATACAACTAATTACTCGTCAGAGTGTGTAGCTGCATTTCACGAAATATACCTTACAGAGATAACCAGCATTAATTGCTTTGTCTTGAAAACGCATGAGTATAAAAAAAAAGCATTAATGTGATGCAGATAGTGCACTGTTGCTTCCGGATCAAATTACGGTATAAAATACCGGCATTTAGGGTACATCATCCGCAAAATCCATTTTACCTTAAAATTCATTTTTACCATAAAATATTATACTGCATTTTTAATAAGAGTAATTTGATGATTTTACAGTAAATATTACTGTAGAAAAATTACGATATATCATATTTTTGTTCCGTATTATGTTCCGGCAAAAATGGATTCAACGGTAAAAAGTACCAGCATCCTGAGTTTTCCCGGTACTTTTTATCTTAATTTGATCCGAAATTTTTTACAGCTTGCATGGAATGTGAAAATATTTATTGCTTTACATAATGGAAGAGTGAGTTTACCATTAATTTTAATAAAGAAGAGGTGATTAAATGAAAATAAGTGTAGTAAAAATGTTTGTTTTATATAATTTTTCCGTATTGTGTACCGCAAAAAGGGATTCTACGGTAAAAATTACCAGCATCCTGAGTTTCCCCGGTACTTTTTACATTAATTTGATCCGAAATTTTTTACAGCTTGCATGGAATATGAAAATGTTTATTGCTTTACATAATGGAAGAGTGATTTTAGCATTAATTTTAATTAAAAAGAGGTGATTAAATGAAAATAAGTGTATTAAAAATATTTATTTTATATAATTTTTCAGTTTGCAAGCAAATTATGGAGGTTTCTAATCAAATTTTTTTTATTCATATTTTAGAGCTTTTGAGAAAGAAATGATTTGATTTTATTTAGACTAACTTCCAACATTTTATTGCTGTAATTACTTTTATGATACATTTGGGAATTTAATTTATAAATTTATGTCAAATTTAAAAATACATTTGTTTATAAAAATCTTTTATATCTAGATGGAATGCGTACTCAATAATGAGAGACATTGTGTGTTTATCTCAAGCAAAATAATAATATTCTTTTACATTAAATGAAACAGATACTTATCAAAATAAATTTTATCTTTATCCTTTTAATATAAAATTAATGTAAAAAAGCATATTTTAAAGCAAAGTTAATTTATCATGCAAAAATAAGATGAATACTTTAAATATTAAAATAGCCTGGGGTTGTACAAAATAGAACAAAAAATGACTTTTATTAATCACTGGCTTATTAATTTCTTATTAAAATCTATTATGAATCAGTGTCATTATACGCAATAAATTAACGTTTATTAGAGTTCAAATACTTTGATTTTAAAAATTTAAAATTTTTAGACAGTTACGCCAAAAAAAATTATAAGTAATAAAGTAGTTTTTTTAATTATCACCTTCAAATGGTTATCCTATAATTTATTAAATTTCAAACTGAAAATAACAAATATCTACGTGAATTTTGCTTAAAAAATTATAAAACTTAACTAAAGTAATTTATTTTTTAACAAATAAAGGGTTTCCTGTAATCTGCCATTTCATGCAGTTAATAAATTTCTGTTCTTCTTGTTATGTTTGCTTACTTTTACAAGACATTTGAGTAAACATTTTATGAAGGTAAATTTTAGACCAATTTAAATTGTTACAAGTGCACTTTAAGAATTTTAATTCTAAAATTGCAATAAAATAACTTGGTGTCCGTCCATCCAATAAACTGTCAAGTTTACCGTTAGGAACATTTCTCTACTTATTACTTATA